GGGGGGGGGGGTCCCAGGAGCATCACTGCTATGGTTGGAACGTGCCCCCCCCAATCCACGTGCTGATTTGGTTCCTATCGTGGTGGGAGTAAGAGGGTGCAACCTTAATCCAGCGACAAGCTGAAGAGGCAGGGCCTCAGGAGGTGACAGCCTGGGAGAGGCCGGCAGGTGGGGCTCCGGTGACTGAGCCCCAGGGGGTACGAGAAGGCGTGAGACAGGCGTGCTGTCCTGGTGCTCCATGTCCCCAGTAAAGTAAAGCTCTCCTCATCAACTGCCTGTTTCAGGTTTCCGGTCATCACGTGACTGAGAACAGACCGGGATACCACAATGCCACCATTCTCCAGCCACTTGCATGGGGGCCCTGGACTCTGGCCCTGGACCTTCTATGTGACTAAGGCAGGCCCCTTCTTAGCCCCCCGCTAAGACAGGCAAACTGAGGCTCGCAGCGGGGCCCCGCAGACACAGAAAGGCAATGGGTGTCAACATCCCACACTCCAGACCCTAACCCCGAGGGTGTGCGGGTGTTCGAGGGGAGGCGCGTCTGAGCCGCCCCCTCACCGTGTCTCCCTCCTCAATGAGTCAACCTCCTTATCTCTGGAGCCAGGTGGGGCCTGCTCTGCATGTCTAATCCCAGCCCTGCGGAGAGGCGGGCCTGAGCAGGGGTGAGAGGGAAGGGCAGGCTCCTGGCCTCTCCCGGTGGCAGCCTCAGCCCAGGAGGGAGCAGGGTGTCCTGGCTGCAGCCAGAAGTTGGGGCCCACCTGCAGCCTTCTCACCCTCGGCCACCAGCTATCCTGTAGGAGCCTGAGTCCCTGCGGTCCTGTTCCTAGCCCCTTCCGTGACATTTTCAGGCCTCAGTCAGCACAGGACAAACTACGGGTGCTGGCCCCGGGCCCCAGAGGCCAGCAGACCCTGAGTAACGACCCTCCAGTGGGCCCCCCTGAGGGCCCACCTCTGTGTGCCAGGAACGCTTCACTCCAGCAACCTACCTCTCCTTACGTCACAGAAGGGGAAATGGCCCACAGGGGCCAGGGGCTTCCAGGACCGCACCACACAAGTCTCTGGGCCCAGATCTGACCTCTTAACTACCTGCTGCCACTTCTGTGAAGCAAGCCGGGGACAGTGCGGCCTAGAGGGCTCGGGTCTGACAGCCCTGGCTCCAAGCCCTCTGTGACACCTCGCTGTGCAGCCCTGGGTGAGCCAGCACACCTCTCTGAGCTGCAGTCCCCACCTGTAAAACAGGCACGAAAGCACCTCATCCACGGGGCTGTCACCAGGCCTCATGACAGTCACGGGGAGGTCTGGCACAAAGAGCTCAGTCAAGGCCCCCAGGGTTGCCCAGAGGGTGGGGTGGTGGCACGGACAGGGGCTGGACCTCACGTAGGCCTACTGCCAGCGGCTCAACCAGCACAGAGCCCTCCAGAGCCACCTGGGGGCTCCCTGTCCCCAGGACAGAGCTGGGGTCCAGTCCCAGCTCCTCTGTGTTCTGTGACCGAGGGACGGTAACCTGCCCTCTCTGTCAGTTTCCCCATCTGTAAAATGGTCACGCCACGCTCCTCCAAAGGACCCAGGGCACGGCGCACACAGGCCCCGGGGCCAGCCCAGGGCAGCTCTGATGCAGGGCCACAGGCCCGCCTCCCCCCAGCCCTGCTCGCCCGCGCTCCTCTGAGCAACTCACAGATGATTTATACCTCGGAGGACGAATCAATACATATGCGGCCAGAGACATCTTTAATCTTTCGCGGGGATTAGGCTACAAGGTACAGCGGCTCCTTTCTGCTGGCCGCTCAATTCTGATTTCAATTTGGCCAGCCACAGCGCCGCTCTCGCCTTTTCTTCCCACGGCCTAAAGACGGTCCTCCAAATCAAATGTCGTCGGCGGGCGGGGCGCGAGGAGCCAGCTGCCCAGACGGGCCCCATGGACCACCTGCCCTGTCACAGGGCGTTAGCGAGGGAGTGTGGGGCGCGGGAGGCCTGGCGGGATGGGAACCCGAACCCCGGCTACGTGGAGGGCCAGGGAGGGGCGTGCTGGGAGGGCCAGCCTGTGCAGCTGGGCTGCTGTCCTGGACCGTGAGGCCCTGGGCTGCACTCTCCCTAACGACTCAATGCGGGGTTAGTCGGGTTAGTCGTCTCTAACAAACTCCAGCAGCCAGGACACAGCCAGACCCCACCCCAACTCCAGCCTCTCCCACTCTCCAGGCCACGCGCCTGCGCCGGACCCTGCCACACTCCCGCGCATGCTCGGGTCCCAGCGAGAGGGGAGTGGGGGCGGAAGATAGAGAAGGCAAACATTTTGAAATTGAGACCTCTGGTTCTGGAGCCAGCCTCCCTGGGTTCAAATCCCCCTCTGTGCCTCGGCTTCTGCCCCAGTGAAATGCAGGTAAAGAGGCGCCTCCCGCGGAGGGCAGGCGGAGGAGCGGTGCCCACAGGCAGAGGGCGGTGTGAGTATGAGGGGCGGCTTCTAGGTCCCGCAGGGCAGGGGCTGAACATGGAGACTCCTGACTCTCTATCCCTCCCCCTGCCCAGGACCCTTGCCCCCGCACCCTACAGAGGTCGTGCCTGGAACAGAAAACGCATGGGCTTGTCAGGGGAAGGAGTCACGCCATGGAGGAGGCAGAAAGGCAGCTCAGAGGGAGAGGGCTGTGGCTCTGGTCACAGACACTGTCATCTGGGGTCTCAGGGGGCTGACCACCCACCAGGGTCCCTGCTCTCTCCTGGCCACCGTGGGGCGTGGCCTGAGCCAGCCACCAGCCAGCATCACCCCCCGACCTGCAGCCCGCAGTCCTGCAGCCCCGCCACCCCCTCCACTGGGTTGCAGGCACCAAGCGGCTTCAGCTGCGAAATTAAAGGGGCTTATCCGAGATTGATAGCAGGATTATGCCCGCAGGGTGTTACCAGCGCCAGCCTCTGGACACTCTGTGGTCCTTAGGAAAAGCAATTAGTGTCCTGGGGCCATGTGGGTATAAAGTACAGACGCCATCACCCAAGGTCGGGGCGCAGGCAAGCTGGTTAGAGACTGGGCCGTGCAAGAGGTCAGGAGCGGGGCACGAGCGGCCCTGCGGGGAGGGGTCTCCGAGGAGGTGGGTCTGCGGGGAGGGGGCGTCCCAAGGAAGCCTCAGGCCCATCTCCCTGTCCTCAGCCCTCTGTGGGCTCCTCCCGCTCTCCTCACCCAGGTACAGTCCCCCGGTGGGGGGCTCACCACCGCAGCCCACACAGCACCCTCCTCCCCACCCAGCCAGGGCCGGCCTTCAGGGCCCTGCCCAGGCGAGACCCCTGCCATCTCAGCCGCTCTCTCTGGCGGTACCTGAAAGCTCTATCGCTGGAGCATCTGAGGACAGCAATTAAAGGTAACGCGGTGAGCGTAATGGGGACAGTGCCACCGTGGTGCGGGGGAGACACCCTGAGGACGCTCCCGCTCCTGGAGCCCCAGCACCCCCGCACACACAGGGACACCTGCGGGAAGCCCAGGCCAGCTCAGCCCACCCCTACCACCAGGAGACCCTCACCCCGCCACGGACAGCTCAACCCCAGGCCACAAATCCGCATCCCTCCAAAAACCCTCGCTCCCAGACCCTGCCTGGCTGCTCCCTGTCTCCCGGGTCCCTGACCCCCTCCTGGGCACTTGCAAAGCCCCCCTCTGTCCCTCTGCCTGTGAGGCCGGCAGTGGCCCCCACGCCAGCAGGGCCACGTCTGTGACAGGCTTTCACTCGCACCAACTCGGGCATCGCCCGGGCCCGGCGAGGCCAGAGGAGACGGAGACCTGCCAGGGAAGGGCGGGCGGTGACGGCTCCGGTCCCCACGCAGGGCCGCGGCGGGCGCTGACTCACCGTCCTCGCGCGACTTCTGGATGAAGGCCTCCACGCCGCTCTCGCCGTAGCTGCCCTCCGAGGCCAGCGTGGACACATAGTTCCACTTGAGGGCACGGACGATGTCCACCATGGCCTGGGCCTGGTACGTGTCCGAGGGCACCACGCGGGAGAAGAAGTCGTAGCGGCTGTTGTCGCTCAGGTCGGGGGCCGTGGAGGCGTAGCTGATCTGGGGAATCTGGGGGGCGAGAGGGGCCGCTGAAGACTGGCTGGCACCCCCCCTGTACCCCAGCCCACCTCACGTCCCCACAGCCTGGGGACCGCCTGGCAGCCTGTCCCCCGCACTGCCTCCTGCCACCCTGGGAGAGACCCTGCGACATGGGCGCTTCCGCCCCTTTTGACAGAGGGGGAAACTGAGGCTCGGAGAGGTTAGACAAGTGGTTGGCTCTAGCCAGGGTCCCAGTGCTGCTCACGTCCCACTCAGCTTGCCGCAATCCTGTCCCTCCTGGGCAGGGGCAAGGCTGGCAACAGACTGGGAAGGGACTGACACAACATCAGCAAGCCTCCTCCTCCAGGAAGTCTGCCAGCTGGCCTCACCAGGTTCTGCAAATGGTGGTCCCCAAAGACACCCCAACTCCCCCCCACACACACACATGACTCTCAGGATATACAATACACACATAGTCACCACCAGCAGACCCTGTCCCCATGGTCCCCTCAGAGATCTGGCTCCTTCCTTCTGCCCAGCCCTGAGGAGACAGCTTTTCCCCATCCCATGGATGGACACCCAAGAGGGTGGGGATCTTTGGGGGATGCTTCTCTCTGTCACCTGGGCCACGACCTGACCTGCCCGGGCCCCACAGCCTCTCCACGGCAGAGCAGACCCAGGTCCCCTGCCCTAGCAGCAACGCTCCCAGCCAGAAAGCATCTTCCTGCCCCCACAGGCCCCAGTGGGGCCTGCCCAGCCTCCTACGGTCACCCCCAACCATGCCCAAAAGACACAGAAGGGGCAGCGTGTACCCCACACCCCCATGCCTACACCTCCCTAGAACCCCAGGACACCGGCCAGTGCCCTGTCCACTCCTCCTCTTTGGCCACATCGACACGCATCTTCCTGTGAGTCCTCCACTCGCAGCTGCTCGGGGCGACAGGTGGAGGGTGCAAGTACTGACCTGGGCTGCGGTCGGGTCTTAGAGCCCATCCCCTACAGAACCATCGAGATGCTAAGCTGGCCCAGAAAACCATGGCCAGGACTTCAGGCCCTGTGGCAGGTGAGGGTAGGAGAGTGTCTGGAGGTGAGAGGGTTGGGGGCACCCCTTGGACAGCTTGCCCACCTGGTCAAGCCTCAGGTGTCCCTATCCCCGGGACCACTCAGACCAGCAGCTGCCCTTCCTCAGGGTGGGGACAGAGGTTTTGCAGCCCCCAGATCAGCCGTTCTCCCGTTCACTTCCACCATGACCGTCCTGAGCTCCTGGTACGGCCTGCGCCCTGGGACAGCAGGGAGCGAGACACCCAAGGCCTTCCACTCTGCAGGGAGAGGACCCGGCAAGCCAGGAGTGCCAGGGCCTGTGAGGGGCAGGCGGTAGGTGGAGACGGCAAGGCCTGGAAGGGCCTCTCTGGGGACACGACAATGGAGCAGAGCCAGGGTGAGCAAGGCCAGGGGACGTGTGGGAGCCGGGGGTGGCAGGTCCGGGTGGGGTGAGCTGGGTGTGGGGGGAGCAGGAGGCCAGTGTGGCCGGAGAGAGGCAGGGGTGGAGTCGATACACCGTAGATCTAACAGCCACCAATAGACGGCCAATGGCCAAAGGAAGATTGCCGGCAGCAGGGGAGTCTCCCCTCCACTGAGGGTGCCCCTTGCCGGTAGGGGGTGGTGGCTCAGCCCTGCAATGGCCCCCAGCCAGCCGCCCGCTGCCTCCCTTCCTGAACTCGCTCTTCAGAGAGGCCCACATCTCTGGGGAGAGGATGGGGGTAGAAAACAGCCGATTGTTTTTTTGGATTTTCTGAGCGATTCAGGGTAAATTCCCAAGCCCATCTGTTATAGTTCTGTGGTCTTTATGAAAAAGTATTACTCTGGGGAACCAGCAGTTAGCGTAATGGCTATGTCGCTGGACTCCCACGTAGTTGACCGCAGTTCGTGTCCCGGACCCGGTGACTTAGAACTCACGCTGGGCGCGTGTGCGTGCGTGCCCAAGATCCTGAGAGGAGAATGGAGGAGAAGGGATTGCGGCGTGACCATCCCCCCTGGGGGGTGATTTCTCGCTTTCTGTCTCTCTGTCTCTCTCTGTTTGTCTGGCGAGCGCACGCGCCCTATAGCAAAATCCTCTCCAAAAAAAAAAGAAAAGTATTATTCTGTGGAAGGTACTGCGTTATTCGCCCCGTACTGTTCGTAGCAATAAAACATGGGAAACGACTTACACCAAGAGGGGCTGGGTTAAAGATGTCTCGGCCATCCAGGGTGCTGTGTTGCCGAGGGAAAGAACAAGGCAGGCTTTCTTTTTTGTTTGTTTGTTTTTAATTTTTCCAGAGGGCATGTGTACTCACTGAAGAGAGAGAAAGTGAGACAGCACCCACCCACAGGCAATGGCCACGCTGCAATTCTGTCTCCATTTCTCTCCTGGGATGCTGGCCATGCTAGTGTGCGTGTGCACACACGCTAGGTCTGGGACTAGAACCACATGGTCGTCCATGTGGGACCCAGATGCCTTAACCACCATGCCACACCAGAGGCTGGCCCGAGGCAGCCATTTTTTTTTAGATTTTTGCCATACACTGAGTGTGCTCACGGTAGGAGGAGAGAGAAAAAGTGAAAAATCAACCCCAGGGGTGATGGCCAAGCCACAGCTCCTTCTCCTCCATTCTTCTCTTGGGATTTTGAGCACGTATGCACATGTGTGCGCACCCGCGTACACACACACACACACACACACACACACACACACCTGGTATGATTTTCAAGCCACCAGGTCTGGGACTCAAACCATAGTCAGCCAAGTGGGAATCAACACCTAACCACCATGCCACCTGCTGGTCCCACCAAGGCAGCTTTTTTGTTTTTTAGAATTATTATTTTTAACTTTATTTATTTATTCAAATTTGACCAGAGAAGGACAAAGTGAGAGAAAAGGAAAGTGAAAAAGCAAGCCACCGGGTCCGGGACTCGAACCATAGTCGGCCATGTGAGAGTTCAGTGCCCTTAGCCACCACGCCCTGCCCACCCCACCAAGGCAGCTCTTTATAATTGCCCTGGATGGGTCTCCCAGACACTGCACAGTAGAAGCAGCGACGAGGCAGCAAGGTGCAGGGCCAGGCTGTCTGCCACGTGGAGGTGCCGTCCTGGGACAGACGGGGTCACCTGTCCAGGGGAGGGAACCAGGCAGCTGGGGGAGGCTTGGGCAGGGACCTCCCACCTCATACCCTATGTCCCTTCTGGATGTGGAAGCATGAACGATATCGCCTGTTCAGAAAGAAACCACATTTGAATATACTTGACAGGTGCCCCACTCCTGCACATCCGCAGTGTCCCCAGCCTGGCCCAGTCCTCTGTGCCTTCCCTGGAGAACACTTAGCATGAAAACACTGCTATCTAAGATGTAAACTGCGAATCGATAGGCAATGATTGCTTTTTTTAGAGAGAGATTTTTGCTATAGGGCATATGTGCTCACCATAGAGAGAGAGAGAGAAAAAGAGGAAAAGTGAAAAAGCAAGCCTCCAGGTCTGGGACTCGAACCATGATTGGCCATGTGGGAGTCCAGCGCCTTAATCACCATGCCATCTACTGGCCCCCAGGATCCAGCTTTCTTTTTTTTTTTTTTTTTTTCTTGGAGAGGTTTTTGCTATAGGGCGCGTGCGCTCGCCAGACAGAGACAGAGAGACAGACAGAAAGCGAGGAATCACCCCTCCTGGGGGTGGGGGGGGGCCACGCCGCAATCCCTTCTCCTCCATCCTCCTCTCGGGATCCTGGGCTTGCATGCACACGCACCTGGCATGAGTTTTAAGCCACCGGGTCCAGGACGCGAACCGCAGTTGACAACATGGAAGTCCAGCGACACAACCACAACACTAACTTCTGGTCCCCCCAGGATCCAGCTTTCTATGCACAGCATCTAAGTGCTATGCTGCAGGGCCAGCCCACGATTCATTTTTAAATTATTGTTATTACTAAGGTCTAAGAATGGTGGAGTGGTCACGGTTGTTTGGAAGCCCTTATCCTGTAGGGCAGGGTTTCACCTCAGGGGGAAGTTGGTCCTTTGTTTGGGGACATTCCTGTGTGGGGCAGGGTGTTGGAGGGCATTCCTAGCCTCTGACCACGACCACGGGCTGCCAAGAGCACCTGCCCGCGGATATGACAACCAGAAACATCTCTAGATGCTGGCACGTGTCCTCTGGGGGTGGGGAGAGGGGCCGAATGTCCTCACCTGAGAACCACCGTTTCAGGGATCCGCCTGAAGTGCTTGGAGAGGGGGGAAGAGTGTGGAGAGGCAACAAAACCGGCCGGGCTGACATGGCCAGGCGATGTCTGCGTGGGAGCTCGTTGCCTTGTCTAGAGCGCTTTTGGACGCGTCTGTGACATCCATGCTTTTAAAATATTCTTAAAATAGGAGCCATCAGATGGTGTAGTGGTTACGTCACTGGACTCCAGCATGGCTGACCGCGGTTCAAGTCCTGGACCCGGTGGCTTGAAACTCATACCAGGTACATGTGCGTGTCCAAGATCCCCAGAGGAGAACGGAGTAGGGATTGTGGTGTGGCCATCCCCCGGGGGGTGATTTCTCGGTTTCCCTTTCTCTGCCTCTCTCTCTCCCCTCACAGTGAGCACACTCACCCTAAGGCAAAAACCGTTGCCAAAACAAATAAAGCAAAATAAAGGCCACCTCGGATTTATCCCTCTGAACAGAAAAGCCCTGAGATTGGACCGGAGCTGGAGAAGGAGGTGAGGCTGGGGCGGCCGAGACAGGACACAGCGACCCAGCCTCACTTCACACCCGGTCCCGCAGTGACGCAGTGACGCTCCTTTCTTTGTGTGCTCGCTGGCTCACCCTCTCCGGGGCCTCAGCGAGGAATGACAGCCACATGCGTAAGACCACTCTACTCCCCATTGGAAGCACGGCTGCTACTTGCCATGTTTTCCCCACCCAAGGGGAGGCCCGTGCAGGCCCCTGGCCTGGACGGAGGTCTCACAGCTGGGGGCAGCAGGGACAGAGCCCCTGCAAACGAGGTGGCTGCTTCTTGCTCATCCC